TTTTGAGACCTTTATAACAATAATATAATAGTAATACTGAACTGTTAACAAATGGGTTTTGTTAAGATTGATGGAAAATCGTGGTGCCGAATTGCTGTTGTAATATTGTATTTCCAGATAAAATCAAGGATTTCTTATAGTACTGTTTTGCACTGAATCATGTAACTCCATAGGGAAGTCACAGGCAGCCTGTTGCTCTGTACAGGTAACTCTTACACTTCTCTTTGTTCATCAGTCTCAGCGGGAGCCGTTAATGAGAGCACGAAGTGAAGAAATGGGAAGGATAATCCCAGGGCTGCCTGCAGGTTGGGCAAAGGTAACTCCTCTTCTGATACTAAAATGAAATTGCCTTGTGCAGTTTTGTCCTGCATTTCAGTTGTGTCTTATTTCTAAGTTAGAACTTGTTTATTTTTCACTCCTCTTCAACTTCCATGTGGTTACTTTCTGAATTTTATTATTAGTAGTAATGAAACTAGGAGATTTCATCTGCTGTTCCTGATATGAAGCAGTTGCTGTTTGATAGACATTTCAGTGAAAATCTGATCTATTAAATGTTGAGGCCAGTCACTACTGTTAACATCCCAATGTCTGAAAAACTCATGCACTGTTCTTACAGTAATTTATAAGTAGGTAAGTAAGTTAATGACAGATTTTGACTTGGTTTTGAAACTATTTGTTTTTTTTCCCCAAGTTTCTGGATCCAATCACTGGAACCTTTCGTTACTATCACTCGCCAACAAACACTGTTCATATGTATCCACCAGAAATGGCTCCTTCATCTACTCCTCCATCAACCCCTCCAACTCATAAACCCAAGCCACAGGTGACTGTTGAACGAGAGAGAGAACACTCCAAACTGAAGCGCTCCTACTCTTCCCCAGATATAACCCAAGCCATTCAGGAGGAAGAGAAGAAAAGAATTCCTGTAACTCCTGCAGTCAATCGTGACAATAAGTATGTTCTATAAGTTATATCACAACTCAGGCAATATGGTGGCAAATTAGAACTTCTTTGTGTCTAACCCACCAAAATTCATTATTATTTTCTAGTTAGGTTTGAATGGATGCCAGAGGGATAGACTGAAATTTCATTGCTCAAAGTTTCATTACAGATTGGAGAATCAGTGTAATTGTTATGTATTAAAAGGAATCTGAGGTCATAGTCTATGTAATTGGACAACAGTTGCTTTTTAAGTTGTGGTATTTAACATGCTAAACGCCTGCCTTCTGACAGCTTGTGAAATGCGAAGTTTGGAGATTTTAAACTGGATTAAATCAACAGCTAACTTTTAATCTCTGAATTAAATAAATAAAAATAAATAAACAAATTAAATAAACCCCCACAAATTCCACAACTGATGAAGCCTAAAACTCAGCCTCGTTATAGGCCAGTGAATATGGATGTCTCACTTGCACTGACTGGTTTTGAATACCTTCAGTGATTGCGTTTGGTGACATCCTTTGCAAGGATTAGTCAGTGCCAGGGCATGGGGGGTGAGCTGGGCTGTCTCTTGGTTTGTGTGCACAGCCCTGTCAAATCTGAGACTCCTGAAAAAACAATTTCTTCCTTACAGACCCATCTGTTACACTAAAGCAGAAATTTCAAGACTCTCTGCATCACAGATTCGGAATCTTAATCCTGTGTTTGGGGGATCGGGACCAGCTCTCACAGGACTCCGGAACCTGGGGAACACTTGCTATATGAATTCCATATTACAGTGTCTGTGCAATGCACCCCACCTGGCTGACTATTTTAACAGAAACTTGTATCAGGATGATATTAACAGGTAACAATCTCTTATCTGCCTTTATGTTTGCCAATTCAAAAAGATCACTTAGTGAGGCCAAGCAGAGGGTTGGTGGTTTTTTTAAATAAAAGAGAAATGGTAACTTTTAGGAGCCTTAACATTTTCAAAATTTGTGGGTGTCACTGAATAGGTTTTACTGGACAGTTGTAATTAAACTGTGATCATCACATTCATAAATACAAGCATACTAATGTCTCCTAAAACCAATCTCTGTATTTAAATAGCACTTTACAAAACAAGCTGAAAACAGCTGGACCTTCCATCTTGAATATGGAACCAAATTACAGTGCTAATGTAGACAAAACTTTCAGCTCAATCTAACAGACAGTTTTTCTTGGTCTAAATAAATTATTTTGAAATTGGGATAATGTTTTGGATTAAAAACAGTAATAAGGGCTCACAGTTTTTTTATTTTATAGGTCAAATTTCCTGGGGCATAAAGGTGAAGTGGCTGAAGAGTTTGGTGTAATAATGAAAGCCTTATGGACAGGACAGTATAAATATATCAGTCCAAAAGACTTCAAAATTACAATTGGGAAGATTAATGACCAATTTGCAGGATATAGCCAACAGGACTCCCAAGAACTGCTTCTCTTTCTAATGGATGGCTTGCATGAAGACCTAAATAAAGTAAGCAATGCTGTTAAAACAAATTATATATCTGTCAGATGATCAAGAGAAATAAATTTTAAATATATATATATAAAACATATATAAAATAAGATGGTTATGTTACTGCAACTTTTAATAGAAAGAAATGCGAGTATTGAGAATTTAATTAGGAATTTAGTATGAAACAGTTTAAGGTACTGAAGGGAGCCACAGAAGAAACCAGATAAGAACTGGATGGCTACACTGACATGTTTAAATAGACTTGAAAATATTTAATAGCATGCTTGCCTATAGATGAGACTTCTGATTTATGTGTATGTTAATATAGTGCCATGGCATTTAAACTTCTGTTATCCAGGCTGACAACAGGAAAAGATACAAGGAAGAAAACAATGATCACCTTGATGACTTCAGAGCAGCAGAACTAGCCTGGCACAAGCACAAGCAGCTCAATGAATCCATTATTGTGGCTCTCTTTCAAGGCCAGTTCAAATCCACCGTGCAGTGTCTCACGTGTCACAAGAAGTCCCGAACCTTTGAGGCTTTCATGTATTTGTCGTTGCCACTCGCATCCTCCAGTAAATGCACTCTGCAGGTACGGTGCAGCCAGAGAGAGACAGCTCCTGAGGCAAAAACACTTCTCTCTGACTTCATTGTGATGTTGCTTCTGCTCATCCTCTTGTTGAAGGGGTTGGTCTACATTGCAGCTTAATGTGAAACATGTGAAACATGAACAGATCTGAATCTTCACCATTTTTAATTCCTCTAAAATTTAAAAAAATAGATCATCCCTTAGAAGTTTTAAAATACAAGCAGGATAGAAATATTGAAGCTGCAGTAGCAGAGAAGACAGGTATAGGATTTGCTTTTGTAGGTCATAGTATAAGTATTTTGTGGTTTTTAAACAAAACACTGTCGATACATTTTAAAGGACTTGCAGCTAATTAATATATTCAGTAAAATTTGCTTCCACATTGAGATTTAACTCACTTTTCCTCGTTCTTATGAAATTTAGGATGCAGATAGGAAACAAACATTTTTGCTACGCTTTCATAAGCACCTGCCATTCACAATCTGTGTTTGTATTTTGTTTTAGGAATGCCTTAGATTGTTCTCCAAAGAGGAAAAGCTTACTGATAATAATAGATTTTACTGTAGCCATTGCAAAACTCGAAGGGATTCTTTGAAAAAAATAGAAATTTGGAAATTACCACCAGTTCTCCTTGTGCACTTGAAACGGTAAGGAAATGGTGATGGATGAAATTTAGGCTGAAGTGATCAGGCTTTGATGGAGAGTGATGGTTCTAGGACAGTAACTGACCACTTTTAATTACAGAAAATTATGGATGTTTTTCCAGTTGTAATGTTGCAAGAATTTTATTTTCATCTGATGCTTCTTTTATAAGGCTGTAGTTCACAAAGCACTTTTACAAGTGACCTCTTTTCATTTTTGCTAAGAAACACCTGTTAACATGTTTGTTAACACATTAACAAAATTGGGGGCTTTCACATCCTGGTTAAATAAGGGAAAACAAACATTCTTAATATTCTTAAGTAGCTTGTGAACAACTTGTAACTTTTAACGATGCTTTCTAATTCTCCAGATTTTCCTATGATGGAAGATGGAAACAAAAGCTTCAAACTTCTGTAGATTTTCCACTGGAAACACTTGACCTTTCACAGTATGTTATTGGTCCAAAGAATACCCTGAAGAGATACAATCTGTTCTCGGTGTCGGTAAGTAACCGTGTCACATTTCGAAATTGAGCTGGACTTTATGCAATGACTCAGGGTCACACAGTCTGTGTGATTCATCCAGGTTTCCGGGCTGCCTACCCAGCTGCAGATTAAGCTGTGTTCTAAAAAGAATGATTAATATTTAGTAGAAAATCTCATGTTCTAGATTATTTCCCTAACCGTAAGAAATGGCAGCTTTTGAGGCCACTAATTCTTCTCTTATGTTCCCAGAATCATTATGGTGGGCTGGATGGGGGGCACTACACAGCCTACTGCAAAAATGCTTCAAAACAGCGCTGGTTTAAGTTTGATGACCATGAAGTCTCAGAGATCTCAGCGTCGTCGGTGAAGTCCTCAGCTGCTTATATCCTCTTTTATACTTCCTATGAACAGCGAGCAGTGGATATGGCCACGTAGAGTAGTGTGGGTTAAGGAAACTGGTTTTCTTTCTATTAGGAGCAAAGTAGGCATGGGAATGCATATAAATATGCAAAACTCTGACAGACATAGTCGCTCCCAGCTGTGGGGATGGCTGCAGTAGTGTCTCTGCAAGCAGGCTCGCTCTGGTCCGTAGTAGTGCTTAACAATCAGAAGACTGATGAGTAACGCTTGTGGTAATACTGCCATCTGTGGAACCATTTACAGGCATACTCGCATTACTGTTTATTTAAAAAACAACTATATTTTTAGTCTGCTCCAAAATTAAATTCTAGCTTAGTCATCTGAAATCTATTAACAAGTAGTTTAAAATGTCTTAAAATCCCAAGGCATATCTTGGTTTATTTTTTTCTTTCACTGTTAATGGCCTTTTCACATTTCTAACCTTAAGCTTGATTCTACTGTGAATACTCTAGAACGATGTAAACAGTTAGGAATGTAAGTGTACATATTGATTGCATACTTGCACATCAGAACTATGTATATAATAAAATGTTGTCCTTTTTGTGAGAATCTCTAAAACTCAGAGGATTGCGTTTATTTGCCAGCTCTAAGTAATTGCAACACTACTTAATAAAAAAGCAGAGCTGTATTATTTTTTTTCTGTTAGCTTTTGTCAATATTTGTGCACTTCAGAGTTATTCTAAACAAACAAGATTTTCCTTTTTAATTTTTTAATATAAATTTTCATGTACACATGCATTAAAAACCTTAATGAAGAAATGATTTAAAAATATATCCTGTTAAATGTATGTTCGAGTTTGGTGTTTTCATTCTCAGCTTGTTGTGTAATGGTCAGGATTCTATGTAATGACAGTCTGAGTCATATTCACACAGTTTAAAGGTTCTCCAGGTGAAAAAAAATACTATTTTGCATAGAACTGATTAGTTTAGAAACTTACTTGAGTTGCATCTTACGTGTTTCCCTGCTGTGGATTTGGGTTAGTTTTCCCTTGCTGATTAAGTTGGCATCCAGAGACCTGGCATCATTTTGACCTTTTACTTGTTTTTGTGTGTCCTGCTGGGGGAATTAAGACCAGAATCGATTGTTTTCCAGAAGCCAACAAGCTGCAAACAAGTTTGCAGTGCTAGAGGAACAAAAACAACATTAGCAGAAAAATGTCTTTTTCTTTCTCATATATTACTGCTCGCTTCATCCTCTGCTCTCTTCACACCCTCTGTGCTCTGGTTCTGTGCTTTCGCCCTGGCATCCTACTGTCAGTTCCTGAAAGGCAGCTTAAAACAACATAATGTTCTTCACCAGCAGAAAACCAGGAATCTTCAGGTAAGTGCATCTGTATGCTCACCATCTGTGTTCTTTTGAGGGATGCAAGAGGGTTGTCATGGAGCACAACATCAGACCTTGTGCAAATGGGGCACGTTCCTTTACAGGCTCAGGGGCTGTAACTGTCGTCTCTAGGAATTACTTCTTGAAAGACCACAGCAGATGATCAGAAATGCAAATGCTCTAGTTTATTGATGAAAGAGAACTTGGCTAGTGCTGCTGATGAATTCGAGTTGCTGCCCTACTCACTGTTGGTTTCCAAGGGCCAGCAGATTCTCAATAGCCTTTACAGGTGTAGAAGAGGAGGTAAGCTGTGTCAGTCTGCACTGCAGAATCTGGGATCTTGGTGACCTGGACATCATCAAAGCTGTACCAGTGTTTGGTGGTTGAGTGCTTGCAGAATGCTGTGTAGTGGCCATAATCTATATCACCAGAGTGGTTCTGTAACAAACAACACCGTCTGTTAAAAACAGAGTCTCACTCTGTCCTCTCACAGGCAAAACGAAGAATTGCCAATTATTTTTTGGTTTGTTTGCACTTGGAAAAGTTGGGAGACAGGGTTCTAGCCCCCCTGGCCTACAGCAAAGAATGTTAATTCAAATAAATGCTTTTAAACAGAGCAAATGGATTATCATTATGCTTCTCTATTTTGCAATTTTACATTTGCAGCCCAACTATTAGCCCTGATTTGGGTCACTGTAAGAGGGCCCCACTTTCTGTGAGCAGTGGAGAAAAAGAGACCATCTAGTCCAGGCATTATGTGTCAGGAGTGCATGCTTTTAAAATGGGGATGCTGGGGAAGACAATTGGAAATGACAACTTCTCTCACCTTGGTTTACATACTGTTACTGGATTATGTCCATGGCAGGTAAAACAAAAGTATACAAAAAGCCATACACTAAAATATAAATCAGGATACATAAAGTCCAAACTAACACATGCTTTATCTGTTCCATGAGGCAGAGCATTCCAACTAAAAGCAGGAAAGGCAAAGCTTACCACGACAGCACGCAAGCTGTACTCTGCATCGTTGTAGAAAAACGCGGAGCTGTAGGGAGAGAGATCCAGGTTGTGTAAAGGATAGTCCACAGTGGTTGAGAGTTTCCTTCTGTGCTTGTCCTGCCAGGCAAACCTAAAATGAAATTGAATAATTTTAAATAACCCTCGACTTCTTTTTGCATTGTGGTGGTTGCTTAACTGACTTTCCTGGGGAAGGGAAAGCCAAGAACTGACTACCCAGCATTTGAAAGAGGAAGATCTCTATTAAAGTTGTGTTTTACAGTATACTGACAGTAAGTGCACTAAACCCACAAGAGATGTCCAGCATTGCTCTCACTGTGTCCTAAACATCTTGGACTGGACTGCACTGCCACTGTCAGCTCTTCCCTCCTGCCAGGCTCCATCCGTCTTCCCTCTGTAACTGTCACTACAAACTGCACTTCTAAACATTTACAATGTGGCCAAGGGCTGCAGTTGGAGACCACAAGTTCTTTGAGCACCTTTGAGAAAAGCAGATGCTGAATGGAAAATTAAATCCTGACTTTAGATAACATAGTTCTGGGAAGCCAAATCATCCCAGAGTAGTTTTCTTTATAGGTGGAAAGTTGTTTAGAAAAAATCTTGAAGAGTAATTTCATCATCTGGTCACTTGTGGCTAGAGAAGTCTGCTAATCCAGGAGCTCTTACACTTGATGCACCTCTGTTTAGTATCCCCAGTTGTTTAGGCCTGATTTAGTTAAGGAATAAAACCAAAGCATAGTGTCTCAGCTGCAGTAATGACAAGAAAAACACACTGTGTCAGTCATGCACTTAGAACCCAAGTCACCACCTCTCCCACTGACCACAGGAACTCTGATTCTCAGGGATGTCTGACTATGAGCCACTGCACTAATTGTATTTCTGTTACTGCCCATTTAGCTTTCAGGTATCAAAGGACTAAAAACACTGGTGTGCAGTGATTTTTTTCCTTCTATGCAAGAGCAAGTGACTGTCCTTCACATCTCACAAATCCCAGGAACTGGCCATGTCCTACCCTATTCAGACTGTACCTCTTTAGGTGAAAAATAATGATCTGTGGTGCCCTGGTTATGGTGGCCTTTACTGTGGCATCTTGGTTTGTTCCACACCAGTAGCAGTGGATTTGGTTGTTCCGAGTCAGTGTGTCTGGCTGAAAGAAGCAGTCAAGACACTCCTGTCAAAGGAAAAAAATGAAATCAAAACCACTTGGTCAAACTGATCTCCCTCCAGCTCTGAAGATCCTAAGCAAAGTAAGAGATAAATTGGCCATACTTCAGAGCTCTCTTAGCTGCAAGTGTGATGCAGCTGTCATTACAAATACTCTTAAAAGACAAAGCAGCCAACTTTGGCTTCCTTTCTCCCCCAAGTGAGGAAATATTTGGGTGAGTGAAAGAAACCTTCATGATTGCTATTGAGCAATCCTGATGTTCATCATGCCCTGCAACTCTCAAGAGTTGCTCCTGTAACCCTGCCAGCCTCTCTGGTCCTGAGACCAGTGAAGAAACACCATTTCTTTAAGGACCAGATCCAAGACTATCCAAATTAGCTCCCAGGGAACCCAAAGTAACTAAAAACCTGCATCTTTTCAGTAACACTCCTTAGCCTAAGCCACCTCTTCCCACCTGAAGCAGAGACCAGCAGGAATGCTTGGCAGCTGTACCTGCAGAGAGCACACTCTCCTAGAAGGGATGGGCAGGGAAAGGACGGTGAAGCTCTCAGGTCTGTCAGTGATGGTGTTGCACTTCAGACATGTGATACCATAACTGAGCTGTCCCTCAAACAACTGTGTTATAATGGATGTGCCACTGCCACTCCCTCTTGCTTCTGCACCAGTTCTGTGTCGGCTTGACTATACAGAAGAAAAAAAAAATAACAAAATGCAGATAAGCGACTGTTTGAGTGCCTTCACTGGGTTTTAATGGTTGCTGCCACTGCCTGGGTAGGTCAGTTGTTAGTCTTGTAACAGAACTTGGCTCTAAAATCTTCTTGATGGTTCATACAAGCAGAGTAAGCTTAATTCCTTTCCTCACAGAGAAATTTAACAGAAATATAATAATCTGGACATTTGACAGGATTTAACTGCTCAAAAAACTCTTTATCAGTGGATCTGAAGAGGAGAAAGACATGAGGGTGTGCACAGATGAAGATTTCAGGCAGGTGAGAAAGTAGAGCCCTGAGCGCGGAAGGAGCAAGGAGAGGGAGAGGTTAGGACAGTGAAGCTACAGACAGCACTGTCATTTAAACCAGGGCTGCAATTCAATGCAGCATTAGACAAGAACCAAATTAATAATTGTGTGTAAATGGGTCTGAAACAAAGGTAGAAAAGAGCAATTATTAGCAGCCCCATCATGGAGTTCAGAAGAGGAGGACAGGCAATTATTACATGGAATGCTAAATCATGAAACACAGAGGGAATTGCTACAGTCCCCAAAACACCACAGCTGGGCTCTTACCTCCTTGAAAGCCTCGTGGAGCTCATCCAGCACACAGATCAGAAACTCCTGCGCGTCGTGCTGAGTCCTCCTGCTAAATGTCGGGTACCGCTTCCCAAAGACGGAATGAAAAGCCTCAGGGGAAACACAGTCAAACTCTCCAAGCCACATATCGGACATCAAACAGCTAAAGGCAGTTGCAGACTCGCCAATCTCCCTTGGAAAAATACACATAAGTTTTAGGTAAAGTGTGAAAAAATGGCGTCTCAGCCTTCAAACGGGAGCATACTACAGAAACTTAGAAAACATGTGCGGGTACAGCACAGCTCTGGCAGCCTGGCACTGGGTTTGGGGGACTCTGCGGAATCCCAGGCAGGAGTAGGAATCATGGCTGAGGCAGCAGTGACTGTAACAGGTACTACCATTGGAATGACAAAAGAAGTGTAATGTTGACGGGACCCAGCAAGGAAACAACCCGGGCTCTCAAAGGACAAGGAAAGCTGTTTGTGGCACAGGACTGTAACTCCTGGGAGGTGCTGCCTCGCGCGTTCTCACGGCAACACAGATCCTTCGGGAGGGAAACGGCAGCGCCAAGGCGAGAAACAAAGCGACTCACGTGCGCAGGGCCGTGTTCCACCTCCCCGAGAGGAAATACTCCACCAGCTGGGGCAGGCTGCACAGGCACTGCAGAACCGCGTTCATGTAGCACGTGTTTTCCAGGTTCTGCAGGCCAGTGAGCCCTGGGTGACGGCTGCTCGTGTCCTCCATCTCTTCCTTCTGGGAATACTTCCATTTCCAAGCCATCCTTCCACCTACTAGGAAAAAAAAATCCACAGCAGTGGAGATCTAAAATGCTACAGTGCTTTTTGTACTATGCTCTTTATAATGGCTCTTCAGGAGGCATGTCCTGCTGTTTCAGGATCTTCTTTATAAACTACATTCACATTTACTTTCACTGGGCTAACACAGTGGTGAAGACTCTCCATCTCCCACATTAAGCTCTTCCCAAGATGGTGAGTTGCATCATTAAGAGCTATTATTTAAATACTTGAGGTTTTAGAGTTATTCCTAGAATTCCATTCAGTCTTTGACTTCATATCCAATTACTCAACATAGCTGTCTTAAGCATTTCACCCTAAAGAATGCATATTATATTTCATTTCCTCAGGGGTGTGGTACTTAATATATTTTCTAAAACCATAGGTTGCAGTCTAGATGCTACTAATAGCAGGTTGTTTTTCAGATTTTTGCTATGTTAAGAAAATTCTAATAGGTTTGTTTTCTTGCTGCATGAGTCTGTCCTGGACCAAGCTGTCCCCCATCCCCAATCAGGCGGTAGAGAAGCTGAACACAGACTCTATACCACCCAGAGGTGCTCACCAGTGCTGCTGTTCTTGAATTTTTAGAGGCTGATTCTCTATTCTGAGGCAGGACAGAGAACTTGGAAACCGCAGCAATCTCTGTAGAACAAGCCAAGCAATGCCCCGTGTGTGGTGTCCTGTGTTCCATCCTGTCACCCGAGCTATTCCTGCCCCATTCCCTTTGTGATGTCACTTGGTTACGTTGGTCCTCAGGCAGGGGAATGTGCCTGGCCCGACCTGCCTCTGTCTCCTTCTGATGTGCCACCCAGAACAGAAACCTTGGGAAGGGGCACCCACCCACTGCACGGAGCTTCAGCCTGACCCACATTTATCTGTGTTTGCTCATGTGCTCTGGTGGAAGGGCAGTGATGATGCTACTGACCACAAAAAGATTCAACTACCTTAAAACATCACACTTAATTAAGTCTATTCGTGTTATGAAGATTTTCCTGGGAAAAAGTAAAAAAAAAAAAAAAGGGTAGTGGCAGAGAAGTGGCTTTTAATGAGCTAATGAGACAGTGTAGTTCATCTCTGAATTCCATACACAGAAGAGCAGAAGGTTTTCCCTATTTAACATACAATTTGGGAAGTAATAAGTATTCTCAGAAGAGGCCCAGGACACCATTTTAAAAATCTCTAATTATCTTACTTGTTAAACTTCAAGCAAAGGGCATCCCCAGCACTCTTGGGACAGTTGTCACTGCTGTTCATCTCCCAATCTGGTTACCTGCAAACTGAGACACAAAAGCAACACCCCCACACACACACTACTCAAAATCTGGTCTACGTTTTTGCAGATGGAACTGGATATGCTTATTCCTACTTTTTGTGGAATCTGAATCAAGACTTTCACTAACTTAATGTAACACAATACACAAATTCACATCTGTGTTACCTACTGCAAGTTCTGGGGATGAGAACTTACCATTACTCTCACCACAAAATACATTACTTGCAAGGAAAAGTGTTAATTGTAAAAAAAATATCAAATCATGCAGATTTTTTTTAAAGAAGCATTGTTACATGTAAAAAAATGCTATTTTTTTTCCAACCAATCTTTTAGGAACATTCCATATGAACTGTTACTACCAGTTTTTTATTTGTAGTCTTTTCCCCTCTCCAAAGTCCTGCAGTGTTAAGTGTTCTGGCATCAAGTGAGATGCAAACACAAAGAATGAAGTGCAGGAAACCACTGTCACAGGCTTAAAAAACAAATCTCTCCTTTTCCAAATCACACAGCTGCTGAGCAGCAGCTAAAAAACCAGCTCCCCAGGAGCGGTGTATTTTGTCACAACATATTTGGGATTGGTTTTCTCTGAAATGTTTCAGCACCTAAATAATGCAAGAAAGCAGTCAACAATGCTCAACTGGGTGGATTAATTAAAAGTTTAAATTATGGAGCTTCCCTAGGCGAGAAATACTCTTTAAATACCCTTGTAATAGGAAAGTCACTGAAGAATTTCAGATTTTCATTAAATAATAATTAGAGAAGGTGTGAATTATATTCCTGTATTTAAAAACCAGGTTCTAAGAATATACACTAATACTTTGTTCTTGGATATTATCAGAAGTTCCAGTGCTGTTTCTACTTTCTTTCTCTCTGGTAATAAATTTAAATGCTAAAGGATCACATCTCTCTATTCATAGACCACTCCCAGACTGAGGAGGTTTCAACAGAGAAGTGACACTTGATGTTCTCAAACAAAATTTCATGCTCCTGCTGCCCAACACCAGCAGGATGTGGCACTATCCAAACAGTGTCAGGCTATTTCTCCAAACCAACTTGTTTTTTTCTTTGCCACCACACTTTTCCAAGCCTTCCCTAAGGATACTTGACATTTGTTACTTTTTTCAGCTAGTGTGGAACAGATCACTTCTGAAAGTTATACATTTCTCCCCCCCTCAATTTAGACAAATGCTTCTCATGTAATTCCAGCTGTAAGTCAAACAGAGTTGAGCCAGTGCTCGTGCCAGGGAGATGGACAGAAATACGAGCAGTGTTAACTACTCCAAGGCTTACAGGCATTTCCCAACCAGGTTTTTTTTCCTTTTGGTTTCGAAAAAGCTTCGGGTCTGAGTCACTGCAACACTGAGCAGACACAACACTTCCCACAGTCACTCACACCCCTCACACGGAGTCACATCTGTTTGTTTTGCTAAGAAATTAGTCACACTCAAAACTCCTCAAGACCAGTAACGTGGCTGTAAAAACTAACTGGGTTTGTCAGGAAACAAAAACTTTCCCAACTTTTACTTGCAATTTTCTCAAAATGTTTTTCCTATTTCATACAATGAATTTGGCTGCATTTTCAAAATTACAGAGGCTCCTCTAGAGATCTCTCTCAATTTGCAGTCAGTCACACATCCAGACTAACTGTTGTGTTGCTGTTACTGTTGCTGTTACTTGGCGTTAGAAAGGTGTAAATACACCTTGAATATCTGCCCGTTCCCTCCCAGCAACAGGAGGAGATACAGTCAGACATCTAAGAAGCAGCTCCTAATTAAACACTGTAGAGCTATTTTTGTCTCATTTGCTCATTAATCCCCTCACATGTGTTTGTCTACTACGGCAGCTTTCACTTTTTTACCTCCCTAGTTTCTGGAGTTGGCCAAAGTTGCAATACCTCAAAGGTGAACAACTGCTGTGATCCAGCATGGCAAAGTCTACTTTTCCACATAACCAGTTACTTAAATTCACCAAAATAACCTTTCAGACTGAGATGGACAGCAGAAGTCTGTAAACAAGAATAAATTTATTTTAGATTCTTTAAAGATTTAATGATATACAAAATGTATACAGTATTATATCCTTATAACATTTTACCTTTCCCCGTCAAACATAAAACACCATTTAAACAGCTATTGTGTTCGTGCCTTAGGTCTGTATCTATAAGATACACTACTCAATAAAAAATTTATAGAGCTATATACTGCCCTTTTAATTAAAAATTACAAATTAGTACCTATGTAACAAAAACAAAAAAAAAAATCGCAGCATGAAACTTCAGTTGGACAACAGTTTTTTCTTGCTGAATGCTCAACAATATTTGGGACAGTTAAATTACATTTTATTGGCATGAAGGTGCATTGCAATCTCCCGTACTTTACAAAATGCTAATCCAACCCTAGTCTCTCTTAAGTAAGTACCACAAATAACATAACATTAAGGATGTTTTCTACACAATTTTAAATACATTTACAAGTTATGTGTACATTCGCTTTCGATATACTGGTTTCACGAGATCTTTGGAAGGCAGAGCTTCGGAAGCAGTCACTACTTACGGACGAGGAAAAGCACTTCCAACTTGTGTTCTTACAAGGCAACTTATTTGGACCAGCACATACTAATTCTTCTATTAAATATGATTATACCAGTCTATCATGGCTTTGTTACTATTTGACAGTGACTTGATAAAATTGAAATGTGTAAAACAAGAAATTTCATTATGCACAATTAGGGCTCTATTCCACAAAACAAAAACAACCAAGCCCAGCTTTACAGTCATGAAGCTGCATGAAATCCTGATTCAGGAGACTCTCTCTCTCTTTTGGAACAGATCAAGTTCCTACCTTCAACTTCATTCTGCTGGCATCCTATATACACCTCATTTGGTTCTGTCCTCTTCAAAAGGCCAGATTAAAAGACACCTGGTGAGGAAACATTAGTGGAACACTTTCGAAAACACTCTAAGAATACTCTGGCATTACAGAGGTAGGTGCTTTCTCCTGGTTTTGCTCACTGACAGTAAGACAAATGCCAAAAAGACAAATGCTTTACCTTAAAACATCAACTACCAAAAAATCCTTTTGGTGGAAGGCATATTTCCCACCAGAGGACTACAGAAGGAAAATCCTCCACTAAACCAAAATAAAATAAAAAATAAAACTTTCTGTTTAAAAAGCCCCTTTAAAAACACATCTTAAATACTTCTCATTATTTCCACCTTTAAAATGATCAGCTGCCACGCTGCTCTGTAGACGGTTATCACAAGTTGTGAGGTCCTTAGATTATGGACCAGCCAAAATCCCACTTATGAGACAGTAATCCTTCTTTTGACACGTCTTTCTTTTAATTATACTGAAGGACAGGTAAGTGACAACTTTGTGATGTTCCATGAAGTTTGAGTGGAGCCATGGATTTGGTCACATCATTAGAGCATCAGACGAATAGAACCAGCTGAATCGGATTCTTTGGTGCAGCTTCCAGGCTGAATTGTCAGTTCAGGGGAATCATCCTGAGGAAATATCATCTTGTCAGGTGTGTAATCGTTCCTCTTCAGATCTGTACAAACAGAATGAAGTCATAATGATTACTGTTCTTTGAGCCAGTAGAATCAGCGGGGCATAAAAGTCTAACAAAGAACTGGGTATGCAAATGTAAAGAAGAATTGCTTGATATGTAGTGTCAAAAAAGGGATGCTTTTATCATACCCGTAATCAGAAACCCAAAGTCAAATTCCAAAGCTGCTCTTTATTACTTATTCCACCTCCACAGCATGACTTAACTATTTCATCATGTACCATACAACATCTCATGACATAAGTGTCTCAGAAGAAGAAATACAGCAGCTCTTACCAGGAAGTTTGAGTTTCCTGCAGCAGGAATTGCAGTGGTGCTTTGCTCTGAAGTTTTTTATTGCATCCTCTCCCAAATTGGCCGGACCAAACACCATATCATGAGACCTTAGAAATAAAGTGAACATAAACATTAGTGGCATGTGTTCTCTCTCTAGTGAAAATTTTATGATACTTTAAGTCTTTCTTTACCTTACCTTTTTTCTCCAGCTTTTATCACAGAGGGATCTGTCAAATTTTCACCAACACCTTCAGAGAGAGCATGAAGACAAAGTTAAATCTGACACATTCCTGATTACATAAATACATTAATATTGAAAAGCACTGGAATCCTTAGCTATGACTTCTCAGCTTCCCCAAAAATAAAAGCAGAAAAAAATCCTCAACAAACAGAATCCAAACTGCATGTGATTCTCTACCCTTACCAAATTGCTCCTAAATGAGCACTTTGTACTTCTCAGATTTCATCCACCTATTTTTACATCTGCCTGCAATTCCTAACTTGAGTTTTCACCTGTGAGAAAATTTCCCTCTATATCTCCCACAGCCAGAATATCTGGCACACATTTCAGAATAAATACAGCTTACCATATTGGCACTACACAAATGTGCCAAAAAATAATAATTTCATTTGGAAATGAAATTTCATTGGGAAAATATGTATATATTTCTATTTTCTGTGTTGCTGTAAGATTTAATGCTATATTAAGAGCAACAAAGCTCGTGAAAGGTCTGGAGCACAAGTCCTGTGAGGAGCAGCTGAGGGAGCTGGGGCTGTTTAACCTGGAGAAGAGGAGGCTCAGGGGGACCTTTATCCCTCTCCACAGCTCCCTGAAAGGAGGTTGTAGCCAGATGGGGGTTGCTCTCAAGCAATAGGACAAGAGGAAATGGCCTCAGGTTGCACAAGGGGGAGGTTTAGATTGGATATGAGGTAAAATTTGTTCTCTGAAAAGGTCGCCAAGCACTGGAAGAGGCTGCCCAGGGAAGTGATGGAGTTACCATTCCTGGAGGGATTTAAAAAATGGGTAGGTGTGGCACTGATGGACATGGGTTAGTGGTGACTTGGCAGTGCTGGGTTAACGGTTGGACTCGATGATCTTAGAGGTCCTTTCCAATCTAAATGGTTCTGTGATTAAACAACAAAACCACAGATTCAAACTAATTAGGCCAAGAAGCACTAAATAATGCTATAATTTACTACAGGCACATGAATTCCTAACAAAATGCTATCAAGAGAAAAACCCACACATGCTTATCTTGGCCCCAGTCCTAATTTCAAAATAAGGACCTTACCTTGCAGATCTAGTACCAGCAATTCTCCTCTTGTATACTCATATGTCCAGTGGCTGAAAGCCAGCATAACCTCCTCCAGCATGTTAGTTGGGATTATTTCATCACCATTATT